ATCTTTTTCGGCAAGTAAAATCTGGTGGAATCCGGATTTTAAATCTAGTGTTGTAAAGTACTTTGCTGTGCCTAAGTTGGATAAAATGGAGGCTATATTGGGAATGGGGTATTTGTCATCTATTGTCTTTTTGTTTAGTTTTCTGAAGTCTATAACTAAACGTTTCTTTTTTCTTCCCTGCTCGTCGGTACCTTTTTTATCTACAACCCACACGGGGTTGTTGTATGGTGACTGGGACGGACGTATTATACCGTTTTCTAACAGATCTTGAGTTTCTGTGTTTACGAATTCTGATACGCCCATTGGGTATGGATATAATTTTGAATAAATGGGATTCTCGTCCTCTGTTCTAATAGTTGCAATGACATTTGTATTATACGGAAGCGCTTCATTTGGTTCCGCAAATACTCCTGCTCGGGCTTTGAGCATTGTTTGAAATTCCGTTGTTATAGCCTGAGGGGCTTCTATTTCTTTGACACTTGTGAAATTTACGGCTGGGCATTTTAGAAAGTTAATGGTCTCAGAACCATAGTTTGTTGTTAGTTTCTTATTTTTGAAGTCTAATAAAACGTTGGTTTGGTTTAGTAGGTCAAGTCCGATTATACCATCGAATGTCGTGAGGTTTGGTAATAAGAAAAATGTTGTCTTGGTATTAAAAAGGTGCATTATGCATTTCTTGTCAACTACGTTGTGGCCATGGATTGATTTTAATCGAAAGGGTTTTTCTACCGGCGTAATATTTTTTAGTTCTTTTAATGGTCTCACGTAATTCTTTGAGGCTCCGGTATCTATTAGCAACTTTATGGTTTTCCCTGCTATCGTTCTCTCTATGAACGGGAGCAGGGATTTATTCCTAAAAAATTGACCTGGTCGTATTCGTCCAATTCATTGTCAACGTCTTCTGTCTCGGTTTCTGCGATCGCTTGGTATTCGCTATTGTCCTGCTCGTATTCTGTATCTTCTGTTCCTAGGTGGTTAACTCTTTGCTGTTTCGGTCCTGTGAACCGTGCGCTACCGCTGTTTGGTCGTTTGTTTGCCTGTCCCTGGTTATTGTAGTTTTCGTATTGAGTGCGTCGTTGTTGATTTGGCCACTGAGTCTGTTTCGAGAAGGTCGCGTTTTGTTGGTGTTGCGTAGCCTGTCTGAAGCGAGAAGATGAGTCAACGTCCATTGGTTCTACCTGTTCTTGTCGTGGTGAGAATTCTGGTCTTTTGTAGTGTGGGCTTTTTCCTGGTTGGTTGTGTTTTGGGTCTTGAGCTAGAGTCTTGTCTCTGACTTGCTGTCTTTGTTCGATCTTCTGCGCTTTTTCTTCTATACTGCGGGCGAAATTTGTGGCGAACATATAACGTTCATGATTTGACTCAACTTCTTGAGCCAATGCCAATGCAGAGGGAAGATCAATTGGTCTAGCTGAGAATAGGACATCACTTAAGGCCTTCCTGGTTCCTGAGATGAATACTCGCAGGGCGTCTGCTCTATATTTCTCATTTAGCGAAGAGGCAACGGTGGTGTCGTAGGTCATGATTGTCTTATTTATAAGTAAAGTCAGTTTCTTTTCTACCTCTTCGTAGTACTGCAGTAGTGTCAAATTTCCTTGGCGGAGTGTTGACATCTCCTGTTCAATTAAGTATATCGGTCGTTTGTCGGAGTACGTGAAATCTAACCGATTTATAATGGCCTTAAAATTTAGAGGAGTGTCGAAAGAAGAGAGTACCATATCAGCAGCGTTCTTAATTTTGTTTCTTAATATTCCCAAAGCTTGATAATGCTTTGAGCTACCATCGTATTTCTCATATACCTTGTATGCGATATGCGCAGCCTTTCTCCAAGATACATAAGTTTCGCTTTTTCCTTCAAAGTCCGGGAGGGACTTCATGATGTCAAGGGTTTCGTTGCAAATAACACCTATTTTGATTTCTGCCTCCTTGAAAGTTTCTACCTCGGGTGCGCTAACCTGTACTGAATTTATACGTTGTTCAATTTCGTTTAATTTTCTATCAAAGCTATCTTTTTGAGCAGCTAAAGCGCTTGCGACTGCGCCTTCTACTATAGCTTTTAATTGATCTGAATTCAAAGCCATTTTTAAATTTTCTGTGTTGTAAATTTTTCGAAAATTTGTTATTAAATCTTGTATTTCACTATCACTCATAGGGCAAGTAAAGACAGGGAATTTTGCGTGCTGCGTTTTTTGTTATTAATAATTAATATTTAAAGGTTGAAATTGTATTTTTATTTGTTTTTACTCCTTAATTTCTTTTTTTGCAATGAACACTCTACTCACATGTTCTTATATTATGTTAGTAGACTGTATGTTGTGTGTTTCTTCGCTGATGAGCCGCTTCGTGGTGGGTGTCTTCGCTGCGTACTGTTTCGTCTAATGCTGCTTTCTTTTT